AAGAGTGTATAGAATGCTTTTCTCAAATGTGACTATAAAAACTGCATGTTATCAGCTAGCTGGTACTATAACAACACCTCCAAGAAATTGTGTCCACTTCATTATAGTCAACCCAATATTCTGCATATGGAATAGGGTAATTTACCATTGTTTGAACTACTAATCTTGAGCTGCATACTCTAAGTTATTGCCTACAGAACTGGGTTGAAGAAAGCTTTGACTTTGTGTGTAACTGATTGGTATGGCACAAAAAAGTAAGTTCTACTGTAGAACTGAGTCCAGAAGAAAAAAAAACAACAACTTTTCCTCCAAAATAATATTTCACTGCAATATTTTAATGCCCATCATGTGATATTAATTCATCAGCTCTGCAATGTGATTCCAAGGCTTTCATGGTATAGATATCCTGAGGCAGTTCTGACTTGCGTCGCACAAGAGGACGATCTTTTTTCTGATCTTTCTGTGCCTGAAATAAGAACAGAACAAAGTTGGCTAAAAATATTAATTACTAAACAATTACCTTAAAAATATTTCTTGCACATCAGTATGTTCACTTATGGGAAAAAAAAATCCAACACATGGGGAAAAGTTTATACTTTCTCCTCTTTACCCCACCAGCTATCCAGTTTCAAGTCTCAAGACCATTTTTTTTTCTAAGAGGAAAAATTAGAAACAATTAACAAATTCTAAGCTATTAGCAATCATGACATTACTATCACAATTATCACTTGATAACATCTTTAAAACCATCATCTATCTTCTCACTTATTTTTCATTTTGTATGTCTCTACATTTAAGATAAATTGTTTTAAATTTTTTCCATGCTTCTAATTACACCATTCACACAGCTGAAAATTATCTTACTGAGGCTCTCTCAAAACCAGACAGTATTCCTATCAAACTATCTTGAAACTACATAATAGTGTCTTTATATATCCACATCTGTCTCACCTACCCTAATTTGCCTGTTAGATCAATGATGTTTATTCATGTTATTCTATAAAAAAGTCCTTATTAAAAAAAACCTGATTGGCTTTTACTTAGCCATTGATTTACCAGCATGCTCAAAAAGTTAGTAAGTCACAGTGGTCAAATTTTGTTGTAGCAAAGTGTATTCACTAAAAACGCTCACATAGTCCACTATAGAAAAAAAATCCTAGTCTACTTTCCTCAGCCGTTCTATCACATCTTCAGTATGGACATTCTGCTACCCTGCTAACCTCTGGCATAAACCTTACTTTCACTGAAACTGCGTAGATCTCTACATAGTTCTCACTTCTGAGCTTTTATTTAAAAAAAATAAACTAAGTTGTCCTTTTGATTTGCCTTTTTTTTTTTTTTTTTTTTACACCGGTAACTGTAATACCTCTTGTTTTAGCATCAATTTCTGATGGTACTTAGCAAGGAATACATAACTGTCTTTCCAGTGTCCTCTGAAAGACTGATGCAAGAATGCTACCTAGCTTGCTTTCTGCAATTCTCTAATCCTTTTCCTGCCTGGTGACCCAGACTTATCAATCCTCTTGCAAGCTTTACACTTCTTATAGATTTCTGGAAGTTTTTCTAATAATAATAATTCCTGTTTCAAACCATTCTATTAGCTCTGCTAGTACAGAATCTTTATCTTTGAAAAACAGGCTTATAACCTTCTAATCATCTCATTTACTACTTGCTCTGAGCAAGGAAAATAAGGAAAATGTGCACATGGAGAGATGGCTAAAGAATGCTAGGACAGTTCTAATCCAAGTTTCAGAATATTATTTAGTTTACCATTTGTTTCTTTTCCATTAGCATCACTCTCTTAATCCCCATTCCTTCTAACAATTGGGGGAGGGAAATCAAGCTCATCCACAGGAACATGATGCACTCATTTTCCAGCTGGAACATTATCAGTGAAAGCTGTATATAGCCCCAACATTATAGCTCTTGAAGTTGAACTCTTTGCAGAAAAGAAGGTAAGACCTAGGTAGAGTCCTTGGTTTTAGCTTGGGCTGCCATTACTGTTTGTGCATTTTACATGGTGTAATACTGGCCCAAATCCCCAAACACTTGAGCAACTGGGACTGGGAACTTTGTTCTTAACTGCTGGTCCCAACTTCTAGCATATAGTCATAACTTGACTGCTTTTCTTTGAGAACTAATGCTAGAGCACGCAGATTTAGGAGGTATGAGTTTTAATTCCCTCTGGCCAGGTGGAAAGTGAACCAAGGTCTCATAGATCTTGAGGAAATGGTTATGCACTAGGAAATAGCATAGTAAAAGATGGAGGCTACCATCCACACAAATCTAAGATTAAGCAGTACTCATTTTTTCCCAATAACCTTGTATATACCCTTCTCCACTAGAAATGGTTCTCAGCTCTGGAGCTAGTGAAAGGAGGCCCCTCTCCCCATCACGTGGGCCTGGCTAAGCTATCCAAGGTCTGAAGAAAGGCAGAGGTTTAGAGACTTTAAACCCAATGCTCCTCACTGACTAGCTTTAACTAGTGTTCCCATTCCAGGGAATGCCACCCTCATTCATTGCCCTGGACAGGCATGTAATTCAGCTGAGATTTACATGTAATGCATAGGGTTCCAATCCAGCGGTGTCTGAAAAACAGCAAATCACCGAGCATGTCTTGGAGGCATTCCAGCATTTCTTTTGATATCGGTACTTATCCAAAATGCCACAGTACAAACACTAAAATATAATCTTGCAGGCTAACAACACGAATTTTAAGAAAATAATGTAAGAGGTTAGGTTGACCATAGGCTTATTTTTATTAAATTTCTTGTTTGATACATTGGTTCAAATTAACAGACTTTATCTCCAATCTCAACCAGTTTTTCAGCTCCAGATAATTTCTCTGGTCTTAAGCTTTACTGGATTTAGAGATATTCGCAGTACTGATATTCCTACCAGACATCTTAGTGATACTGCAATGCCCCCGGCACCTCTCCACTTTCCATCAGCTCCAAGTTTAATTCTCTAGTTTGAATGTCAGGATTCCAGTTCCACTTCAAGTAAAAACACTTGACAATCACTAAGCATTAGCTACAGATGAAGAGATTGGAATGACCTTGAGAGTCCATCCTTGCCCTGCAGTACAGTAATGGAACATGACAGATGGCGGACTAAGGAAGACCACCCATATGCAGGCAAGACACACACACACATTTTCTCAAAATGTAGTAGCTTTAGCCACCAAGGAGGCCTTGAATAGTAAACATGTCATCACTAGAATCTGTATTTTATACAAGTTTGCCTTATGAAAAAACAAAACTGTTAGAGAACAGAATATGAAGTTTATTACTCTAGGATAAATAGTTACAGGGCTGAAACTAAAGCCCAAGTTTATGCCTATGATTAACAGTCACTTAAAAAAAGTAATTAATAATTTAGAGTACTTGGTTATCTTCACATGGCTTTACCTGACAAGCCTCCTCTTTCACTGTCTTTTTCAGCATCTGCAAATCTTCAATTAAAGGCCCATCTGTTTCCATTGCAACAGGACTGTTCAGCAAACTCGTGTCACTGTATGTTGGGTACTAATAAAATGCAAAGTGTTAAAATAATAATTCTTAGTTGTAATACCTAAATACTAAGAGTGTATTTGAGCATTTGAATGATATGATTAGTTATTTGAGATTAGCATCAATATCTTATGCTTCCAGGCACCAAGTAATACATTTTAAAATGAAACTCCAATACTTCTACTTGGCAGAAATGTTCTGTTGAAAAATACAGTCAGAACACAAAAAGATATGCTTTGATCATCTGGGATTGAATTTTTAAATATTCAGATTTTGCCAGTATTGAATGTCTACTTTGGCAATCATTTATCTGAAACCTTATTAATACATTGTCTAGTGATTTGTGAACAGTGTAGCAACCAAAATACAATGATTTTACTTTCTGGTGCAATTTTGTGTTGGAAGAGAAAATACACTGTTAAAAGGCCAAATATGGTTAATAAACATTTTAAATAATTTCAAAACAAAATATTAAAAGGTTTTCTATCTTGAGAAAGTAAAACAGCCATAAGTCTTTGGGGAATAAAAAAATCTTATAAAAACACTTGTATAGTATTTAAAGCTTACTGTACAGCAATCTCAGTATTTTAAATTCTATTTTAATTCAGACAAGGTGTATGTGGCCTTGAAATCAACTCATTTACAAACACACACACTTTTTCATCCATTTTCCTCAAATATTTTAGTATCTGAGTGTACCAATAACTTAATGCAGATGAGACAAAACAGGAAAAAACTGTCAGCAAGGATGTAACAACTATAGTGATCTAAAGTCTTAAAACATATTCTTGTGTCATGCAGAGTTAGGAATAGCTCTTAACAACAAGAATTGTCAGTAAACAGACAACTAAAGTTGCAGGAAAAAATTCCTTAAAAATCCATTATATAATATATACTGCTAAAGGCATTGATATCCTTCCATCAATTCAGTGGAGCACTCTGTTCAAATTAATAATTTTTATTTTAAATCGCTTCCAATTATTAGCTCTCTTCGAGTGTACTATGCAGAACGTGCTGTATACAGGTTGTATTAACCTGTTTTGGAAAATGTACACAGTTACAAAAAATTACTTGGGAAGAAAAGGAAATTTACACTGTAGAACTCTAAATTTTACTACTAGAAGTCAATCCCTTTATCTAGCCAGACATGCAATAGTTCATCATTTGTGACAGCAAATGACCATGTCTATCAAGTACTCTTCAAGCAAGGCTTTTGTATGGCTTGTCTTATTAAAGGAATGTTTTGTCACTGAAAGTCAATTGCTGGTTTCATATCAATGGTTCTTTTTTGATTAACTCATCTGTTGTCAACTGATATTTTGTTTAATTTTAACAAATTTGATTTGAGCAGTTTAGTAATTGTTCCTTGAGGAATGCCACGAGAGGAAAAAAAATTTATGAAATTCCTCCTTCTTAGAAAAAAGATGACCCCATACTTTGTTTTAAAGTAGCGCTGAGATCATAGAGCATCCCACTTCTGTTTACAGAGTACTGTTACTCCATCTTCCACAACTTTAATCTCAGCTAGACAATGTTGAAAAGATACAGTACAAGTAAGTTTCTTGCTGCAGTATAATAAAATTCTGGCTGCAGAGTAATTGAAATGTTTGAGTTTGTTTCCCCCATAGCAGCAATCAGTATGATTGAGATAAAGGAAAACTGGCAGCATTCTCCAAGCAAATTAAGTAGAAGGGGTAAAAAACCCAAGCCAAACCATCCCCTTCTCCCGTAATTTCAAAATATAATGAAAAACCTAGAGGACCTTTGTTTCTTTACCAAAATTTCAGTTACATAAAGTAATGCCTGACAGATGTTTTCCTTTTAGTAAGAACCTGAGGTGCAGGTTCACCAGAAGACCGGCCCAATGGAAATATGAGAACAAATGCAGCAGACAAGAATGTACAATATTACTTTAATCCATTTGACACAGAGGAAAACTGACCAGTCATAACTCACAGTTTGCAGAAAGATCTCTTTTGTAATATATTGTTTGCAAACAGCTTTTCAAGAGAAACCAATTACGGCATCTCTATATTTTCCATAATTTTGCACAATAACTTTTCAAACCGCAATACAGTATATCTCCTATTGTAAGAAAAGGAAAAAAGTACTTCATATCATACTTTTCAGATACCTTTTAAAAAAATAATTACTTGCACAAGAGAAAGGTTACAAATTTTTAAAGTATTTTTATTGTATATCTTTCATAATACAATTAGTGAAATTGCTTTATTTCCATGATCAGACCTGTTTCCCCCACTGATATTTAACAAAACTAAAGTATTTAAACATGAACATGTCAATCTTTTCTAAATACCTGGGGATTTGATTTGGCTAGATTTTCTATTTTAACCCATGCTTCTTCCCGTTCCTTCAATTTTAGCTTCTCTCTGGAAAAAAAAAATTAGAAGCAAAAATGGCAAAAAAAGTTTGGTGAATCTTGTATCACAACTTGTATACTTTGGTAAATAAAAAGAAATTCACTGAAAGAATTCAACAGAATAAATTATTTAGCTATGCCTGTGTCCGCCTACTGCCCAAAGTATCACTTAACTGTTGACAGGATAATTTGCATCATATCAATACCCCATGATCACAAAGCAACATTAAAAGGAAAAAAACCTTGTATTTTCTCATGAAAGCAACAAACTGGCTGATACTAGTTGTCCTGGTTTTGGCTGGGACAGAGTTCATTTTCTTAACTGTAGCTGGTATGGGGCTGTGGTTTGGATTTGTGCTGAAAACAGTGTTGGTAACACAGGGATGTTTTAGTTACTCTGACACAGAGCCAAGGCCTTTGCTGCTCCTCACCCCACCCCACCAGTGAGTAGGCTGGGGGTGCACAAGGAGTTGGGAGGGGACACAGCCGGGACAGCTGACCCCAATGACCAAAAGGATATTCCATACCAAATTCTATCTTCCAAATCCCTGCTCTGTTCACTGACCTATGAAAGAAGATACTAAACAGGATTCTTCTGTCAAATAATGTACGAACACCCTGTATTACAACAGAGTAACAATTTTATTTTGGGTAATTTTTAGAAAAACACGCACATATGCTCACATATGTGAGCAATGCTGAAAAACACTGGAAAAAGTGTTTTGGGAAGAGTTGAGTGATAGCATGAAAGAAAATAACACTGGGTAAATAAAGCATGCTAAAATAAACACAGGATGAAAACTAAACTCTAACAGATCTTTTACACTGGGCTTCACAATTAGCACTCTCAAAAAATTAATTTTTTAGGAAGATGGTGACCCCCAGCAGTATTAGGTCCAATACTACACAAAGCATCCTGTTCAAGATTTTACAGTTCACATATAACAAGAAGTTTCACCAAGCTGATTTTGAGACTGCTGTAATCAAATGGGCAACTTCCCACTAAAGACACAGTAGTTTTTCAGAGCTAAAGCACTCTGAACAAATTATTCAAGAACAGACACACTGACATGAAAACTTACTTCAGTTTTTCTGCTTTAAATTGCTGTGTGCAGTCATCGAACAGTTTTTGGTTCATCTCCATGAAGAGTTTCAGAGCATTGTATATCAAGCCATGTATTGTCCTATAAGTAAAACTTCTGGTTGAAACTCAGAGTACTTTAAACTTTGAAATCTATTTTTTCTGGTCAACAGTAGCCAATAGCCTACATAACTGGAAAATTACATCATTTCAGAATAAGTGGAAACAAAACTAGTCAGTGGAAGTTTCAGTTTACCCTCAAAAGGGCTAATACAAGTACTAAAAATACAAACTTTGAAGGCAGTTTTCTTACTCTATAGTGCTACTCATCACTTATACTTCTGATGTTTGAACTTCATTTTTAATGCTACATGTAACTAACTATACAGGACTAGTTTTGAAATTTAGTAGCTGACACTAATCAAACTTATTATTAGTTATTAGAGAAAATGCAAGATGACATTTAAGATTGTGATATAAGTAAGTTGCTGGCAATTGACAAAAAAGTTAGTGATTAAAAGGAGCCTAGAAAAGACACCATTCATTTTGAAAACTGCCACACAGCAACAGCACTCATTTCAAACCAATTATGCCAGGACTCTTCAGAAAAGTGTTAGAAAAGCGAAGTGGAAAACATCAGAAAAATTAAACAAAAATAATCTGCTTTATGAAGCACTTTTACAAAGTAATTTACAGCTCCAGTCTGTGATTGATTCCTGACCATTAAATCCCAAAAGCAATCAGTTAAGTGATTACTTTGTATCATACACGTGAGCTACAAGTAAGAGCGCAGCTGTACTGGGTAGCACGACTTCTGCTCAGAATAAAACGAATGCATGGCCTTGAAAGCCAGAAAAAACCCACTCATGGCACTCCACATTTACTATGTACAGTTGCATCGCTGAATCAGAATTTTATTAATGAGCACATTATTTGTTACTGCTTACATCCAGTGACAGTAACCAATCACTTTAACATCACTCTGTCTTCCATTTCTTTTCCTGTGTTTAGTGGCAGATTGATAATGCATTCTTGGCCAAGTCAGCAGCAGTCTGTGATAATTTCACCATCCCAGCAGTTGCACAACAGCTCAAACAAAGAGGCACTGGAACAGCTGCAGAAAGGAGCTGACCAGGACTGTTTTCATGTGTAAGTACTATGTTATTGTGGAGAAAAAAGTGAAAATAGTCAATGGAGAAAGAAGAGAAAACAATAAACAAAAAGGAGGAGGGAAAAAAGAAGAGGAAAGGAAAAAATGACCTAATCTACAATCCACTAGAATGCAGAAGAAATGCAAACCAGCAAAGACATTAGAGATGCGAAATCAAAGTTAGTCTTTAGAAGTATCTGAACCTCAGATTAATGTCAAATTTGCTTCATATTAATAAAAATGTGTCATGGATTAGATGCACTAAAACATTGATTCTTGTATAATGAAAAAAGGAAAAACTATCTTCCTCAATTCTTAATATTTCCTAAAAATTTTGACAACAGTAGTCTTCTTACCTAGCAACTTTCATGTCATGAGTAAACAGCTCACCACACTGTTAAAAGCAGCAACTCAAAGAGTTGAACCACTTTTAAGCCTGAAACTAGAAAAAAGTAAAGCAGCAGAATTTTATTTGTACAAGTGTTTCTTACTTGTTCCAATGCGTCTTTGAATTCCGGTACAAGGATGGAAACATGATGGGTAAAATCTTTGCTGCGTTATCACTAATTAAACTCATAATATATTCATTATTCCAGTAGTATAATGCTCGCTCTGCAACCTAAGACAACATGAAAAAAAGGAACACTTCTTCAGACAATCTCTTAAAGAGCAAATAATTGAAACATTTGCCAAAACAAGGGAAAGGTAAGAAAAGTTGCAATTTCGATTTGGATTCTTCTCATGTAAATAGGAGTCATGGAGCTGATGGAGATAGATATGAAAAAAGTGCTTTTTTCCTTGATAGGGACACAATTCAAACTATAACCTATGAACTCTGAAATTCAAGCAAAGAAATGTTTTCCCAAAGAAAAGAGAGTATTTGTAGAACTCTATTACAAGCGGTGAAGTGCAAACATTATGTACTTAAAGGGTTCAGGTAATTTCTGAAAACAGTGAGCTTTTAAGTTTTTATGTTAAGTGTAACACTGAAGTGAATCCACCAATACGAATGCACATACTGCACTCTTGAAAAGAAACAATAAAGCTAACATTTGGATCCCTAAAATTTGACACAGAATTGAAGATTATTATTACTTTTTTTCCAACAAATAAAATTAATTATGGTGAATAATAGTAGATAATACCATTAACGAGTCTGCTTTATAAAAATCCTCATATTATTGTACATGCAGTAAGTACAGACCTGAAAGTGTGGACTAGACACACATTTGGCTAGCTGTCTGAAAAGAGGCTCCATAACTTTTACAAATTCAGATGGTTCAATAACATCTAAAATTTCTTCTAGTTCATTTAAAAACATGACTTCTTTTGGACTGTGAGTCTTTGGCCAGTATTTCAGCAGTGCCATTACAACCTGTAGAGACAAAGAACATAATCTTCATGATAATTTGACTTTACCTTGCACTAAATTATATCTCATTAAGAAGTCTGATATTTTAAACAGAACACAAAACTAAGATTTCTTGTCCCATGTGACAGCAGTGATCAGATATGGTTCTGTGTCACAGAAATAACAACTGGTCTAAAAACACTTCTTCAGAAAACAAAGTCATACACTTAAAAGACATGTTTAAAAATAGTCATCAAAAGATTAGAGGAAGTAATCTGACATCTAACTTAACATGATCAAAGTGCAAATTTGTTACTATACTACGGGGAAAATTATCTGCCACTTAAGTGATAGCAGCTTCTAATTTCTTGGAAGTCTACTCCAAAGTTCAAGAAATTAAGTTCTATCATTATATTTTAAGTGAAGATTTACTATAAATACCCAAATTGACAGGTGACCGACTACTCCAGGCATGCTGCTCTTAAACACTGAGTTTTATTTAATTGACTATATTACTATAATCACAGTCTTAATTTTCTTTCTGATAATTAAATTATTTACCCAGCTTGCTGAAGCAATTTTTGCCTAGCAAACCATGAACACTCAAAAGATATGTGGGAGAAAGGGGCACGCACACACACACAAACTAAAGGATCTATAAAAACATGACATAAAAGGAAGTCATCTGCCAGTTGGCTCACAACTCTTTAGAAAGGGTCTATACATCTGTCAGAAAGGTTTCTGAAGCCTAATTGAAAAACAAACTCTCTCATCTATTGAATATATAAGTAAAAGAATTTGAGTCTGAAAAATGATACTAATTTAGCAGTTAAATATATTTATACATTGTATTTATTAGTGGAGTTATCAATTACATAATAATTTATTCAAGAATCTTCAAAACCACAAAGTTATATCTAAGGAATAATGACTCTTAAGCTGTTAGCAATTTCGGATTTAAGGAAAATGTAAGTAGACACAAATGTTTTTGTTGTGAAACAATGATGATTTTTTCCCCAAAGATGCCAGTTTTTTCAAATCAAAGTGTAAGATTTTATTTTTTTTAACTATGAAAACTGCTTTCCATCTGTGGCGATTTGGTGCCAAACAACATTCAAATACGAAGACGTTTTCCTTTAAAGGATATTTAAACCATGCTAAATATTTTAAAATGACTGGCATAGCACTCAATCTTACATATAGGTATTTTTGATGAGAAATAAATGCAACCTCAAATGTGTAAGTTTATAAAAGCTTTTGTTTTGTGGTTAAAAGATTAAAAAAATACATAAAGAACAAAAATATTATAGTGTCTGTCTAGTTCTAGATGTAGAACTGGACCAAAAAAAGCCCCGAACTAGTACAGACTTCTCGAAAAAAATTTTCAAAATAAAGTGGGGGTTTGGGGTTTTTTTTAATAGTTTAAAAGTTGCAACAATCCATTAGTCTTTCTCTCAGACAATTTTTTTCATTTAGGCAAAAAAGCAGTCTTTTTTTGTTTTCTGAAATGGAGCATATTTTTATAGAAATCTCGCTTTTTATATTTAAAACCTGAAACACTATTTAACATCATCACTGACAAGATAACTCAGTGAGAAATCAGTGCATCTTTCATGTATGCATTATTTAACCATGAAAGCAGACACTATGTTCTCAATGAAGCCTTGGGAAATTTATGCAGATTTTTTAATAAGATGTCTAAAAGTCTCATATGACAATTACAAGGGGAAACAAAGAGTCTTATTTTGTAATGACCAGAATTTTTGAAGGGGAACTTAGTACTTCGGTGATGCATGTGCTAAGTTTTTAAAGAATGTTGTAATCATGTACTAATTTGGCATCAAAACAGGAAACAGACTTGGATGTGTTTTAGTTCAAGATTTGTACTAGGAAATATGTAACATCCTAGCTGATGTCTGGAAGAAAGCTAAGATTTCAAGATCTTCAGAATGTCTGAGATTTGATATCTTAACAAATATTAAAAGCTCCAAATAGAAGAGAGCTCTTGTTCAGCTGCATACTGCATTTGTTTCAAGAACCCCAGTTTCCATTTTCCAATGGAAAGGGTTATAATCTGATAATGTGCACTTTTGTTAGTCTCAATCGTTTTACTGATTGCTACTTAGTGATTAAACATATTAGTTCTTACCTACTTAATATTGGGTGCAACGAGGCAAAACACTACATACTATTGAGGATGATAGTTTAAAAGTATTCATCTATGTAATTACATGCAGCCAGATCAAAGTCTGGTTTTGTCTATGGCCCAAACTCAGTAGACATGAACAGGATCTGACTCAAAAACTTTACATCAAGTAGGCAGATCCGTGTGCCAGAAATCTGCGTTCCATCATAACATCAGTTTCTCAACAGAGAACAGTTCAGGCAAGCTAATTTCTGACTAAACTGCTTCTGGATCAGCCATCTCGTACCCAGTCAGCACAATAAAATAAGCAGAGTAAACTCTGGTCTGTTTGTAAGAGGTATGCTCTTAATTTGTTTGGAATATCCAAAATGAATTAAAACAACCTATTGGAAAACCTGAATCTGACAGATCATAATAGTTAAATATTTGACTCTTCCTAATATAAACAATTATGTATCAATACTTTGTTCCCAAAACCTCCTTAAACAGTCTACAGATAAAAGGGATATTAATATTCCAAAATCAAGAATAATAGCAAGATAAACTTACTGGTTCTGTAAGCGTGCTGTCCTTTTCTAAAAATTGAACTACACAGTATGCCAGCTACAGTAAAAGAAAAAGATTTTTATTAATGCTCATTGTGAAATCTAACAGTTTGAAATCACTAGCATAAGTGGAAAACACTACTGAATTCAAATAAAAACACAAGAGTTTTTCTGTAATTTTACAAAAAAATCTGGCAGACAATTTAAAAGGGTAAATACACATTAACAATTTTTCCCAACCTTCCCAAGTCTGTCCTCACCTTTTTCTGCGTTATAATATAGACAAACACATCATTTGATATTTTCTTTTTAGACCTAGTACTTTGCATTTCAGCACACTTAATCTTTTCAAACATAGGATTTTAAAAAAACCACAATCTTGTCCTCTAAAGTGCTTTTCACTCACTAACGTTTTGGTGTCTCATGCTGATTTAATAGCTTATGAAATAGAAAATACTTAAGTTAGTTAAAATGCATTGAACAGTTGTAAATCTTTACATTTTCTATATATGAGAACTAACAATAACTATGCATACCAGTGTAAAGCTGATGCAAGCTAAGGCTGAGTTACACTATTTACCAACATCAATTCTGAGAACGAGACTGTCTATTTGTCCCTAAACAGTGAACTATTACATCCCTTTCTCTCGATAGTCCCAAAGTAAATGGGAAAATCACTGCACATCTCATGAACTGTTTTAACCATTTTCTAATGTCTCTCCATTTATGGAAGTTCAGCTGATGAGCCCAATCCCTCTCCTGTTGTCCCTAGGTAATTTGAGGAATGTACGAAGATTATTACATCTACTGTTCCCCACTATTCTAAAGCAAATTTGAATTAAATATAGAAATTAGCTTTCTTCATGTACATCTGGATTTGGCAGCAAATGCTTCTGAATATCTGTGACTGTTTCAATGTGAATTTTTGTGGTTTTACTCTGGTGTTCCACACACTAAGTTCACTTGAAGTATTTTCCCATTACATTCAGTAGGACATGTAAGAAAGGCATCCCTATGTCACTGTCTTCTATCTACTGACAGTAATGAGGAATGCAAATCGCCTGAAGGTTTGGGAGAATTAGTTTGTAAATTAAGGGGAATAGATAAAGACCAATCTCAGGTAGGCAGAAGAAAAGGTGGCCATCATAGATGTCCACACTAGTTGAAATTATAAGAAAGGTCTGATTGGCCACATGCCAAAAGGTTATGTTTGTAGCATTAGAAAAAAAAAGGGGGAAAAAAAATCTTTTGAAATGGGAGTGACTCTAGCCTACTACTCCAGCAGGAACTGATGCAAGCCCCAGTAGGCAAGATCCAAAGCAAATGCTTATAAGCATCTCTAATTGCTAGAGAACTGTAATTATATAAATGGTATTCTCAAAAATACAAGTTGTTAGTAATTTTATTTGAAGAAATGGTACTTAAAACTTAGAGTACTTGAACTTACACAGAAAATGCAGAACTTTCAAATTAAAAAAACAAAGCCGTGTAACAACCTCTCACAGCAAAAATTTCAGCATACCACAATACTACTGTGTTTTCTCTAACTTTGCATGGATTTCTCACTCCTCTAGGAACTCTGAATGAACTAAACTCCGCATAGAAAAGATACAGCTGGTTTAAAAGCACAATACAACTCAGATGCCCCTGCTTTTTCTGTGTTTTTACTTCTAAAAAGATCTATTTAATTAAATAACGATGTCCTAGTAAATGCCCAATTCATTTCAAAACACCAATAGTTGTTGTGAGGCTCTGATAACAAGTGAATGTT